GTTCAAACGTACTATTTGATACTGATGTCGAGGAGGTTGGCAGTGAGCGGCACAAAGAGTAAATACAGCCAATACACCGGACTGCATAAACATCAGAATTGTATAGCATTAGGATCATCACCAATGGCAGAATAATTGAGGCATTACGAACCTTGATAACAACCGCAGTGAAACACCGTACAGATCGTGTCCAAGTTCTCCCATAAAAGGGAACACGAGCAGGAAGAAGAAGAACAACCACAGGCTAAATACCAAGACCATTCGATTGAACTTTGTCCAGGACAGGGTCTCCAATACAACTTTCACGTTCGCGGACATCAATAGCACGGAGTAGATGACATTGCCCTGCAGATAGAGCCCTACACTCAACCCACCGACGTTGATTGTGCCGTACATTGCCAGCATGAAGCAGATAAATGCTTGAATCATGGCATTGAGTAGCCATATCGAAAATCGCTTCATGTTGATCCCATCATTTTTCTGACCAGGAATATACAGTATCGGGTTACGGAGAACTTGTTCGGGGGCGACATCCTCGTCAAAAACGCCGATCGCAATGATTGGCAACGCCAGGAAGAAATTCCACCCAGCCATGACAAAACTCTCAAACACACTCGTACCTGACTGTCCATTGTAAAAGTTGAAAAGGAACAGAGCGATAACGAGTGCGACATTCTTGTAGAACGAATAAAGAATGACCTTGGAGATTCGTTGGTAGTTATAGCGACCGTGGACAAGAAGCAGTCGTTCGAGAAACCGGAATTGGGCTATTGCATAGTCACTCGCATTAACAGCTTGTACACCCTCTTGGCCTGACACTCCGATACCAACGTGAGCGGACTGAATCATATTCACATCATTGGCTCCGTCACCGATGGCCAGTGTAATTGGCTTTTGTGGTGAGTTATACCGAATGAGGTTAACAATATCCGCTTTTTGAGCAGGGGAGACTCGACATGCAATCACTGCATGGCAAACACTGGATATATCCAGCAACATTTGGGAGAGGACCTTCGCCGCATGCAGTGCCCGCTCAGACGACGTGTTCTTCGGTGGGAACACGTGAACCATCGCCTTGCCATCACACACAAGCGCGAGATTACTGGAAACCGTGTTGGCGTTCAAATGTGACTGCACATCTTCCAGTTTATATATTGTGTCAACTTGTCTGCCTAAATCGTCGAGGTCCTCGCAATTGATGATGAGAAGTTTCATTCCTTCATTGATCAACTGGCAGGCATGGCCGATGTTGATTGCAGTTTCCTCCTTGTCACCCGTTAGCATCCAGATCTTTATTCCGGCCTGAGCAAGATTTGCAATCGCAGCGGGTACACCTTTCTGTAATTTATCTTCGATTGCAGTCGCCCCCACAATTTTCATTTCGGTTTCGATCAACTCAGCCACTTGTTCTAAAAGTTCATCTCGATTTGTCAGAGAAGTCACAGCTTCCTGGTATTTAGCATCCCAAGCCAAATACTCTTCTGCGGTTAGCTCCTTGCTGCAGATCACCAACGTTCGAAGTCCTTCACTAGCAAATCGCTTCAATTCCTCATCCATTTTAGCGGTATACTGGTCGACTTTACTGCGAGGCATCATTACATTGTCTGCACCCTTGCAGTACAGAAAGTATCGCCCGTCTTCGGTACGTAATGTCACGGACATTCGCTTTCTAGTGCTGTTAAACTCGTTCACATTGAGAATTGAGTACTTACGCATAGTCGACGACCCGTTCTTCTTAGTCACTTTGACCTCCAAAAGTGGTGCTGGTGCGTAGAAATTGTATCCTAAACACCTGGCAGCTTTCACTAGAGCTTCTTCATCCGGAGAAGAGGCGCGATAGTCGATCTCACCGGTTTTCACATTCTTTTCAGGGATCACCGTGTGGCACACGGAAAGCACTGTCAGGAACTCATCGATGGCTGCAGCCTCCGGAGCATTCGTGGCTAGTGCATTGATTAACCGTGGGTCATCGAAATGAATGAGAGCGTTGAAATCAACTTGAGCGTCTCTAGGATCGTGGTGCTTGTCGTCTTCTTTATCATTCGAATCGATGGTTAACCCCTTAGCAGCAGCATTTTTCTTCGCCATCTCGGCAACAGCTCGACCGATTTCGGTTGTGCCGAAACCATACGATACACCAGCGATGAAGCACTTTCGGAATTCCATGATGTTACAAGTGAGAGTACCCGTTTTGTCGCTGAAAATGTGGTGCACCTGTCCTAGTTCTTCATTCAAATCGGACGTCCTTGCATTCGCATACGTTCCTTCATGGCACATCTCAGGGTCGCTGGCAAGGTTTTTCGCTTGGAAGACCTTCACCATATCCAGCGATACGTACAGCGAAATAGGAACAAGATTGTTATAGAGAATGAGAAAAGTAAAGAAGCTCACCAGGTTGGAAGCAGATGACGTCCCTTCAAAAGCGGAGCTAAAGTACCAAAGATTCTTCTCATACTTGTTCATCCAGATCGTGTTGCAAATTGTGCTGATGATACAAAGCACGAACTGCGTGATGAAGATCAGCAGAATGCAGCGGTTGACGACCTTGTACACATTACTCTGTTTGGATGGCGTTGAGCGAGCGTTCTGCATCAATTTGGTTTCGGAACCAGTAAAAATGACGATCCCGTAAATGTACGCGCAACCGCGAACACTGCAGCCACGCAGAATGATGTTGGAAGGGCCAATTGGAGCTGCCTCCTTGTTGGGCCCAAACTCGATCCTGCCAGTGAAGTTGTACAGGCGATTATTGGGTTGTTCATACTCCATCGTAGCATTCAGCTTCACCGTTTGTTTGCTGTGATCACTCTCTGGCAATACAGGATCGTTTAGCTTCCTATAGCCAACGTGTTGTGCCACTTGCTCGATGGCAGATCGTCGCTTCAGATTCGTCTCACCGTCCAAGTTACACGTTTCAACAAAGCATCGTCCTTCTTCCTCGGACGTTGAGAGGATAAACACGTCTGCAGGCGCTTCATCACGGTCACCGAGGCGTAGAATATCCCCAACTACCACTTCTTGCCATTCTTTCGTCACGATCTCTCCGTTACGTCCCAGCACTTTACATTGTCGGGAGTTCTGGACATTGTCGGCGTCGTGACGCTTCTTGTCTTCAATGGCTTGTTTGATCATAGAAACCATTAACACTGTTACCAACGGCCCAGCTGTAGTGTATTTGTTTGTCGGGGACCATGGTGTGGCCACTTGAAGAATTGATATCGCCAAAAAGTAACAATTGGCAATCACTCTGAAAAACTCGAAGAGCATCTTCGGGACGAAGCTTATGATTGTGTACTTGGACGTTGTCACGTAGTTGTCTGCGTATTTGCCTTCACGTCGCAGTCGCTCGTTCTCCTCGTCATTGTTGAGGTGGACCTTACGGAAGCTATCAGCTGAAGTTGACATAGTGAAGGGAAGACGTCCAAGACCGCCGAGTTGACCACGCTAGACAATAGTTTTGCCGAAGTTGCTACTATTGAGCCTGTCGGATTTGGATGGAGAGGCGCAAAAGAGGTTTCACTAGGTGGAAGGCGATGTCGTCTCTATTCGCGGTTGCCCCGACACATTTGTATTTTAGGATACGCTGCTGACTTCTGCTTAGTGTGGCCATTTTGAGCTCGCCTTGCTCAGCCAACAACGAACATCTGCAACATGTTGGCAAGAATCACGTCGTTGTGGACGTTTCCGTTTATAAGAAAATGATCAGCATCTTTACAAATAGGTGACGTCTTCCTGTCCACAATAGTAAGCGCGATGACACTGGTCATACTTTTAAATATTCCATCTATCCTATATGCTGCTGCGTGCACTATAGAACTGGGTATGAGCTTTATTTCTTGTTTGTACTTGTACTTTGTGGTTCCAATGCATGTGCATGTTTTCGACTTGCTGCAAGTCCCAAAGATTTGCACTTGCGGTTTCAACTTGGTGCTTACAAACTTCTAGTTATTAGAACGTAACCTTTGTGGACCACATATTCGTAACCAGGATACAAACAGGTTACGTGTCACTCGTCCGCCTACGATATGATGGGGACGCTACCTCCAACTGCCGCCGACGTGACCATGGTACGTCCTGCACTCCCCATCCTCCCAGTGTCTATACTCACTGACACCTTCTCCGCCTCCCATTCTTTAATCACTACTTTTCGCAGATCGATGGCGCGTTGTTCGAGTACGAAGAGGAGGCCACACGCCAGCCATTCGCCGTACAGACGTGGACCTCGTATCTGCGCGCTCTGACCGACGCTCCGCTCACCGACCGATGCAAAGTCTATGAACGTGGACTGCAGTCCCTCCCACGCAGCTACAAGCTCTGGAAACTCTATCTGGACGACGTGTACGATACACAAGTACGTGGACAGCGCGTGGACTCGCCGCTTTTCACGCAACTCGTGGCTTTGTACGAGCGCGCACTAGCGCAGCTGTCCACAATGCCCAGACTGTGGCTCGATTACCTCAACATATTGCGGGAGATGCGCGTAGTCACTGCGCGGCGTCACGTATTCGACAGAGCGCTCCGAGCGCTGCCCATTACCCAACACCACCGGATCTGGACGCCCTATCTGACTTTTGTTAAGCAGATCGGCGTACCCCGCACGGCTGTGCGTGTGTACAGGCGATATTTGATGCTGGAACCGTCGAAGAGAGGGGAATATGTCGACTATTTAGTGTCGGTAGAGCACTTTGAAGAGGCCAGCTTGCAGCTCGTGAAGCTCATCGAGTCAACGCAGGAGAAAGAGACAAGCACAGACCGCACACAACACAGCATGTGGATGCAGCTCTGCGATATGGTGTCACAGTATCCAACGCGTGTGGCAAAGTCGCTGGATGTGGAGGCGATTCTGCGTAGTGGCATGACAAGGTTCAGTGACGAGGTGGGACGACTCTGGTGCTCTTTGGCGACATATTTCGTACGTCTGGGGTTGTTCGAGTCGGCACGAGATGTATATGAAGAGGGAATTCGCACGGTAGTTACAGTCCGAGACTTCAGCATGATCTTCGACGCGTACGTTAAGTTTATTGAGGCCATGCTTACGGCGGAGATGGATCTAGCAGCTGGAGGTGATGAAGACGACGACGAAGAAGACGAAGTGGACCACCAAGCACAGGTCGATCGGCTTTTAAAAGTGTACGAGGATGTGGCAGAACGACGTCCGTTGCTGCTTAACTCGGTTCTTCTACGGCAGAACCCTCACAACGTGCGTGAGTGGGAAAAACGAGTGGAGCTAGTCAAGTCGGACTTGCAGAAGGTTATTCGGACGTATGCTGAAGCCGTGAAAACAGTAGACCCTGTCAAATCCGGTGGACGCTTGCCAACGCTTTGGATTCGATTCGCCAAGTTCTACGACGAGCATGGAGATCTGAACAACGCGCGCGCTATCTTCAAGAAGGCCGTGGACGTGGAATTCCGCAACCCTCAGGAGCTCGCCGCTGTCTACTGCGAATGGGCGGAGTTGGAACTTCGCCATGAGAATTTCGATCAAGCACTGGAGATTGTTCGTGGTGCTTGTGCCATTCCAGCCGCACGTACGATTCGTCTTCGCAAGCAGCAGTCATTAACGGCCAAGGACAACGTACACCTGAGTGTGAAGCTCTGGACGCTACGTCTTGATCTAGAGGAGAGTTTGGGTGACCTCGAGTCGACTCGTGCTGCCTACGATGAGGTCTTTGAGCTCAGAATCATCACACCGCAAATGGTGCTCAACTTTGCCGCTTATCTGGAAGAGAACAAGTACTTTGAGGAGTCTTTCCGTGTGTACGAACGCGGGTTGGCTCTCTTCCCCAAGTTCCCGCATGCCGGCGACCTGTGGCAGACCTACTTGACCAAGTTTGTGAAGCGCTATGCTGGCACCAAGATGGAGCGAACTCGCGATCTGTTCGAGCAGGCGATTCGTGCTGCCCCAGCAAAATCCGTACGTGGGTTCTACGAGAAGTTCGCCGAGTTCGAAGAACAGCACGGCATGCTGCGCAACGTCATGACTATTTATGAGCGCGCGTCCGACGCTGTGCCAGACGACGACAAGCTGTCCATTTACGAGAAATACATCAAGAAGGCACAGAAATTTTTTGGCGTCGCGAAAGTACGGGATGTGTATCAACGAGGCATCTCCAATCTGCCCGACAAATGTGTCCCCAATTTGTGCCTCAAGTTTGCACAGATGGAGACAAAGCTGGGCGAATTCGACCGCGCACGAGCCATTTACTCACATGCGTCTCAATTCTGTGACCCGCGTCAGCACGAAAAGAGTTTCTGGAAGGTCTGGCACGAATTTGAGGTCTCTCATGGCTCCGAGCACACGTTCCTCGAAATGCTGCGTATCAAACGGTCGGTGGTGGCTCAATACTCTCAAGTGAACTACGTCGCGTCTGAAATCGCTCCTCAGGACGGGGAGCCATCGAAAATTGCAGGAATGGTGGCTGCTTCAACACCAGCAGTGGCTGGCGATGCCATGGCTGCTTTGGAGGCGCAACTTGATGTGCCATCAGCTGATGAAGGAGACGAAAAGAAGCGGAAGGGAGAGACTATGGAGATTGAGACTGAGCGGAATGTACGCCAGAAGCAGATTGTGGAGGTGGCGAATGAAGAAGAAATTGACTTGGATGACGAAGACGACGACGCAGAGGAAGCAACCGGAGGAGATCCCGATATTGAAGAGCGGGAGCTACCGTCCACCTTGCTTGGAGGCAGCGCCAAGGCGGAATGAGGTTAAGGAGCGACAGTAAAGCTTGATTGGCGGATCTTTTAACTCTAGTTGTGCTAGTTGTGGCATGGGACAAGGTTACTCGATCGAGTAATCCACATAACCTTCAATTGATAAGGTTTGTTATTCGGATACTACAGCAGTGGTTTATTTTTCATAACTCTATTTTGGCTGAAATAGCAGTGAAGACACGACGTGTATCGCAATAACACTCTAATGGCTTATGATCCGTACAAATCGTTGCTTGCTAACGCAAGACGGGATCACCTAAGACATAACGCCGACCTGAATACACACCTCGTGGGAAATGTCTTCCTTCCAGCCATCGCCTCGCAACGCAAGGAGAACTTATCGGCGCCAATTGCTTCACTCAAGCACTTAAAAGTGATTGAACAATGTATTATGGCGGAGAATAAACGCGAGGGACGATTAGCGAAATGCTCGACGATCAGAGAGCGACGAATCATGACAAAGAAGTTCCAGACACAGCGTGAACGTGAAAGGAGGTTGATTCAAACACTCATGCTCGGAGATTATCCCGATCGGCAGCACGAAATTAAGCTTTTTGAGAAAGAAGCAACCACACCTCGGCAGCATCTGAACGCAGAGATTACGGGTATCAGTGCCAGAGTGGCCACTCCAGATCGTGTATTTCGTAAAGCGGATGTCACGGGTGGACTACCGAAAACAAAGCCACACGCACACAAGGCATTCAAACTCCCGGAGTGCAACGGATCTCCTGGCAAAAGGTATAATGCTGGAGAACAAGATGCAGCCTCGATAAAACTTTCATCTCCATCTAGACCAGCTTCAAGAGGCACTCAATCAGTGACGAATGGAAAGAAGAGAAGTTCGTCGCTTTCAGCAAAAGAAAACAGTGTGAGATATCCTAATTCCAAAGTAAAAACACCCAGCGAAAACATGGCAGCAGGTTCGAGTCAGAGGATGCAATCGCCATATATGTCTCTGCATCGACATCAAACGAGGTCGGCAAAAGCTACAGCACAATTTTCATCCTTGCCAAACAAACCAACAGAACAGGATTCGTTAATCAAGTTGGTGAATGCTGATGCAAGCGTGGAAGACCAGCAGAAAGAAACTTCAGTTTCTTTTGAGGGAGCACTTAGCTTTTCCGAAGCTCAGCAATTCGCAGAGGCAATGGGTAGCGATGCCCAACTACGCAAGGAGAAATGTGAGAAGATTCTCACTGAATTTGGCACTCAAACAACACCACGCTTGCTACAAGATGTCTTACAGGAAAATGAAGTGACAAGGATATCCTCGCGGCCGGAGCTTCCTCTCATAGATACATCTTTGGTCACAGGGCTAACTGCAGCTACGACACCGCGTCGTCCTCAGTCTGTCCGAGCTCAGCAATCAACACGCCAATCTTTCCTTGAGAGTCTCGCACGAGATAACCAGATTTTACGAGAACGGAGAGAAACTACTGCCCAACTAGCTGATGGTAAACCAGAAACCGATTCTCAGCATGAGGAACAAAATATGGTTGAAGAAGAACTTAAATCTCAAGCGATAAAACAAAAAGATTTAGTCGTAGGCATCAAAGACGCTAGTGCTGGAGAGGATCACAGCCTCATTGAAGAAGAAGACAAATCCCAAGCAAGAAAAGATGAAGAACCGGGTACAGACACTAAATACACACTCGATTCAGCAGATATCGGTAGTGCAAACGAGGATCATAGCCATGTTGAAGATGACGAAAAAGATAATTTTCAAGCGAGTACAGCTGACGGACCGGCCGTAGAGACCAAAGAAGCACTCGATTCAGCCGGTGGTACAAAAGTGGATCAAAGCGTCGTTGAAGAAGACAACGAAGAAAAGTTTCGTTCGAGCAAAGATGAAGAACCAGTCATAGGTATCAAAGACGTGTTCGATTCAGCTGATATTGGTCGTGCGAAAGAGGATCATAACCTCGTTAAAGATGACGCAAAAGATAATTCTCAAGCGAGTGCAGTAGACGAACCGGCCGTACAGATCAAAGACGCACTCAGTTCAGCCGATGTCGGTGGTGAAGAAGTGGATCAAATCCTCGTTGTAGAAGACAAAGAAGAAACATGTCAAGCGAGAAAAGATGAAGAACCAGTCTTAGATATCAAAGACGCTCTTGATTCAGCTGATGTTGGTAGTGGAGAAGATTACGGCGACGATTTTGTTGAACAGGATGAAGAAGAAGACGATGAGCTAGAGACCGATGTTGCCAAGACTATCTTTGATTTAGTGGATATGGTTGAAGCTGCTGCGACCGCAAAGGAAAAGAAGCAGAAGATTATCATCCCAAGCCCACGCACCGTATCGCCACGACCACGTTCGTCAACGGTACGGATATACCATCGAAGTAAAAGTGTTTCGAAGATCGGTGCTGACTATCCTTTTTGTTCTGCTTAGAATCGAGCAAACACGCCCGCACTGCGAATCCAGTCCGTGTTCCGTGGGTATCGTGCACGCATTGCGTTTCGTCTCGCTCTCTATGAAGACGCACTGAGCTGCGGCGTGCTTGGAGCGATGCCCGGTACAATCCAGGGCAGGTCGGGCTGGTATCTGGACCCGAAACGCCTCATTGCCTACTTCTTCGTTATCCCAGATCCCGACGGCGAGTGGGAGCAGAAATACACGCTACGCTGCAGTCGTCTGGTGCTCACACCGTACGAAATGCAGCAGGAAGTACTCAGTAAAGTACCAGCTGACCTGCAACAGTCGTAAAGTGACCAGCCTGCTCAGACTAAAAAACTAAAAAAAAATGCAACTTCAACAAACTCTTCTCAGATCTGATTCCACCAACCCCTCGACGTCACCCTCTGTTTTCGACTGTGAAACTGCAGTGACCATCACTCTTTTTCGGATGGGGGGCATCGCATTCAAGTGGTCACCAATAGTTCGTACAGAAGGAACAAGTACCTGATTCCGCCGCTGTAGAACACCCCGCGAGCCTCCCGTACGCCGCGTCAAGCCCCCACTAGAGAGCTATACCAACATCGGCTATATTTACTACGCGTGGCGAGCTGCTGCAAAAGCTGCTGGAGCTTCGCGTACGTACAGAGAACAATTTAAAATAATCAGATTAGAGAGACCTAATACTTTATGTATTTTTTATTTGTTGCTGCTGGTTGGAAATAGCTGTACGATATCAAGTAAGAAAGAGCGACGGGTATAGACAACGATGGCCAGCGCGCGAGACAGCGATTTCTACGTGAACGTGACGAGCGACGGCTGTCGAGACGAGGCGGACGAGAGACTCAGCACTCACAGTGCGCGGCACCAGGACGACGCAGAGTACACAAGTGTGCTGTACGCGAGACCAGAGGAGGTTATGTCGCCCACGTCGTCCAGCAGCAACGGCTCCGGCTCCGAGTTCTTCTCGACGGGTCATCAATTAAAGAACGGGACTACTGGAGATATCAGAGCGACTAATGCTGCAGCACCAACGTCGGCTACAGCTACAGAAACAGAAACAGATTCAGACCTGGAAGAGAGTCGTAGTGATGCAGACAAAGAGAAGGAGCACGTGATACGAGCCATGAATGTTGCTGAGGACAAAAGCGATGCTGACGCTGAAGCTACAGATGACGAAGAATGCAAAGGGCTTGGCGAAACTGGTACAGCTGAGGAAAAGGATCAAGATCGGTTTAAATTGGCGATTGCATTGGACTTTGAGACAGATACAAATGCTGCGATGAGTATTGGACCACCCAGCGTCACTCGACAGACGTCGAGTAGCTTTTCGGACCTTGGAGATTATGAAGACTTCTCGTTTTCTGATGCAATTACTATCCCGAATGGTGGAGGCCCTGGGAGCGTTGAGAGCAGCAGCAATTCGGGCACACCTACCACGTTTTACCCTATTTATGAGAACGAGGCCTTTCGATTCACGCATGCAAGCGTAAGCAACTGTGGATATGGCAGCTACGACGCGATTGAGAAGATTCCTGGAGTATACACAAACAGTCCCGCAAGAAGTGCTCGCAGTGCGAACTCGCCGACGATGCTGCGTCTTGATAACTATGGCTACAATGGAGGCCGAATTACGCCAACTTTCCAACTGACGCAACCGGCAGATGAGTCACAACCGCTGATTGGAGATATTTATCCGGTTTCTGGTGAGGTAGTACGGCTACGAGTTGATAATGCTGCCTATATTATTTTCTACAAGAGCGACGATAGCGGCGAAGAGCAGAACACGAAGAATGAAATGCTAGCAATGTCCTCCTCGTCCGAGGATGATGTAGATACAAGCGAGTGGAACGAAGAGGGCTCTGGAAGAGCACCCCCACCTCGGTCGTATGCTTCACTGGGTGCTGCTGGTCACAAGGTGCAAACCGACAACTGCTTCACTCGCGACTACAACCACCCCACTCGGTCTTTGGGTAGAGGTCTCTTTCGTGCTTCCACGAGCGTTGGCAGTGCATTCCTCAAGGGTGCGGCTGGTCTGGTAAATAAAACATATCAAGGCGGAGCAAACGGCGGCGTATTTGGCTTCGCCAAAGGACTAGGAATGGGGATGCTAGGCCTGGGTACACACACTGTTAAAGGCGCGTTCCGAGGAGTTGGACAAGTGACGCACCTGGTCGGCGAGATGGTTTTGGGGACTGCACCACATTTCAGCATTGATGGTACGCTGGTACTTACGAACTATCGTATCATTTGGCAAGCTCTTAGTACAAAAGACGCGATGGAAATCCCGTTGGCGTCCATTTTGTCCGCTGAAAGCTCGACGACAGCGCCTCATGTCGCCAATATTGAAGGCAAGCATCTTTTGCGTGCCTCTCTGGCATTTCAGGATGAAACTACGTGCTCGGATTTCTTGGGTTGCATCTGGGAGCTTTACTCTACTGGTGGTTCGCCTCCTCATTATCTATTCGCGCACTTGCATTATCAAGCACTACGACATAAGGATGAATTGAAGACGCCCGATGGATCAGGTCTGGAGACTCCAAATGACTCTTTGTACGACGCTGAGGAAGACTATCGCCGGTTAAAGTTGCTGGATGAAGATAGCTGGATGCGGTTGTATGACAACTCGGATTACACCATGTTCCCATCATATCCAGACACGTTCGTGATCCCGTCTGTACTCGACGAAGACGATCTTCGCGAGCTGAGCGCTTATCGCAGTGCAAGTCGCATTCCTGCAGTCGTGTGGCGTCACCCGCACACAGGAGCACTTGTGTGTCGATGTGCTCAACCGTGTACAGGTCTAAGTGGATACGTTGTGGAAGCCGATCAGAAAATGGTGTCTGCCCTTCAACACGCAACGAGCGCGTATGGTGACGCGAGGTTTCACTTCTTTGATGCACGTAGTCAAATGGCAGCGGCGGCCAACTCGGCACAAGGCAAAGGCACGGAGGATCCACGAAATTACCCGAACTCGGAGCTCCATTTTTGTGATATCGCGAATATCCATGCCGTTCGTTCATCATACGCTTCGCTAGCATCAGTCTGCCAGCCTGGACAGGAACGGGAGAGCAGTGGCTGGCTGTTTCAGCTGCGAAACACTTTTTGGTTTCTGCATATATCGAATATCCTCTCGACGTCGCAGGAGATCTGTCGATATCTCAGTCAGGGCAACTCGGTGATGATTCACTGTAGTGACGGATGGGACCGTACGCCACAACTGACAGCCATGGTGCAGCTCTTGTTGGATCCATACTACCGCACTGTCCGTGGATTACTGTGTTTAATCGAGAAGGAGTGGTGCTCGTTCGGACATCTCTTTCGATACCGCTATGGACATGGCGAAGGTCCAGGCCAGCAAGAGCTCGAGGAACAGTCTCCCGTGTTCATTCAGTGGCTGGATGCATTGTGGCAGATTTGGCGTCAACAACCGTGGGCGTTCGAGTTCAATGAAGCGCTTCTTTCTGCACTTTACGAAAGTATTTTCTCGGGACTGTATGGCAACTTCCTGTACAACAACGAACGGCAGCGGAAACAAGAGGAGGCAACTGCACCAACCCGATCGCTGTGGTTTGTGTTACTGGAGCAAATGGAGAAGTATTTGAATGTGGAGTACGACAGCGCCAAGAACTTCAACAGCATTGGGTTAGTCCTTCCGTTCTCGTCAGAGGAAAACGATTTGGTGATGTGGGCAAACCACTTGGTCTATGCTGACCCTGTCTGCCGAAAGTACGAGTGAGGGGTCTTCTATTCCAACCTCATTCGGTCAGGATAACAGGTTCGAGCTGAAGCAAACAGATAAATGTCGCTACGCCGTGGTCAGGCAGCGTTGTGCTTACGCGAGCATCATATCGAGAAATTCAAGAACCGGGAGCTCGAGCTTGTTTTCCAAGAGATGTTTGTCGCTGCAAAAGATAAGTGGACTACAGTTATAACTATTATCGCATCGATGCCCAGAAGAAACGACGTACAGGAATTCCGCCGTTCGATCACGCTGATTTTCAGATGAACGAGGTGAAGTGGAGTGGCTCTTGTTTTTCCCACCGGGACATTTTGCCGCTGTGCTGGATACGGCACTGTTATGTGGCAGAGCTGACAAATGCAATTAGGTAGAGTAGGTTAGCAGTAGGTAAGATAGGATAAGTTGTTAGTCTTGTAGAACTACTATGGTTAAGCGCAAAAGGCAATAAAGCTGACCTGGTGGCGGTGATGTTACCAGTGGGCGCTTGCGGTGTGATCTGGATTTCAATTGAGGATCGTTGTTTGGTAGCTTCAGCCCAGGTTGTGCGCTGCCCCTTTGAAGATGTACCGGTTTGATGGCATTTCGCTCGTGGTCGACATCGTCAATGACTTGTACAGGCAGTAGTTGAAATTGAGGTGCATCAAACTCAGGATCGTTGTCTGAGTTCTCGCCCAGTCGACAAGGAGCTGTATAGAAAAGCATCATAATGTTCTGTTCGTCATCTCGAGGTAAAGCATAGGGATTTCGTACCTGGTACATCCGGAACAATTTCGTGCTCCTTCTCCCATTGGATAATTTCTGCTGCTGCAGCCAATTCCTGCGAGATTGATGGGATGCCTGAGCCTGGAGGTGTCCGAGTTCTAGGTTTCTCGTACTGGATGTGCTGCGAATGTTGAAGAGCGTCCACTTGTCGGTTGAAATCTCTGGGAGTCTTTGCTGGAGGTTGCACCAGTGCTGCCTCTGCCATGTGCTCATGTTCCCATTGAACAATCTCTGCAGCGGCCTCGAAGTCGTTCCAAAAGTAATCTGGTCGTGCTGGTTCGATTTCGACTGCTTGGTTTGTTGTTGTTGTTGGGAGGTTGTCGGGAGTAACGACGCGATGAGTTGTATTTGAAGTTGGTCTGCTTGCCTCTATCCGCGAGACTTGAGGTGGTTGTTGATGGCGCAGTGGAGCAACCGAAGGCAGCAAACCGTATCGCGAAGTATGTGCTGGATCGGGTTGAATGACAGCAGGAGGTTGGACACGATTCATTCCAGAGTTCTGGACACGGCGTCGTTTTTCGAGAGCTTCGCGTCTTCTTTTCTCTATACGTTCTTGCTGTTCCTTCGTCAGTGTTCCTGGCGGAGAGGTGGGCAGTCGACGTCGTTCCAGAGCTTCTTGTCGTCTCTTCTCGACCAGCTCTTGCTGTTCCTTTGTCAATGGGTTGGGCGAGCTAGGCCGTAATGAAGTATTAACCCGTGGCACGTTCACTCGAGTTCCAGACTCTTCTTGCTGATTCTCTAACGCAGTAGGTGTAGTATTTGCTTGTGAAGCTGACGACAGCAATCCATTCTTCATTAAGATCTCACGAGCAGTCTCTTGTGGAGTCTTGCCCATGCGGTTCTTCTCCGCATCTGAACCATTTAGTAGTTAGTTTACACCCTTGGCAACATTCATTCGAAATACATACACGCTTTTGCCTTGACCAGGAGCCTTTTCCCATACATTTTTTCAATCTATACGAAAAACCACACAGCATGGCTTTTGAGTTTTAGGTCGTTTATCACTGCTCTGTCGTCCCCGCACCTCAGTCCACTTCCCCGCCTTAGCCAACTCCCGCACATGCTTCTTCTTTGCTGCCACCGACTGCTTCTTCTTAGGTCCAGAGGATACAGGGGCCCCGCGCTTCCGCCTTGGCGTGCTCTTGTCAGGCATTTTCGATTCCGCACTCAAAAAGAAAAAGTTGAAGTCAACAACGGAAAATGGCTACATTTCGGATACCTGATCCTGTAATACTCAGTTCTGAGGAGGAGTCAGCACTTCGTCGCTCCAGAAGCCCCAGCAGTTGCCCATGCACGTGGCCAGACCACAAGTGCGGCAGTGGATGGGACGCGGGTCCAGCGCCAGTGTCGCTGCTGCAGCCTCCGGGTCGGCGTCGATGGCTTCAAAGCGAGTTGCGATCTTATTGAGCTGGTTGCGGATGGAGCGACGCTTGTTCTTGCTGCTGGACTTGTCCTCCAGAAACTCAGCGAGGATCTTCTCGAGTGCCCTCTGCTGCTCGAGTAGCTCAGAGCGTGGCATGTACTGCAGGAACGTGACGTAGCAGCGCTTGAGGTACTGGTGGTCCGTGCAGTGCACCTCGCCATGACGAGTGTAGTAGCAGCTATCACATACAAGCACCAAGTCGCGGCATACAGTGCACACCTTACGCCCACTGAATTCGTCGAACGGCTCCTGGCACTCGATGCATTTCCCGACAATTTCGTTGCTGTTTTGTGCTCCCATCAAAACTCTACAGAGCACATACAAGTTATCGTTAAACTCGCATTAAGTTGTAGCCATGAGCTTAACAGCATACCGCTTGTCAAAGACAAAGTTCTTGCCACGAAAGAAGCCTCCGTCTTGGTACGCTTCAAGGTACTTGTGAATGCCGCCCTTGAGGTGGTGGACATCGTTCACGCCCTGATTGCGCAGGAAGTTGGACGCTTTTTCGCAACGAATGCCGCCTGTGCAATACATCAAGACCTTTTTGTCCTTCATCTCGTCTACACGGTTCTGCAAGAATGCGTAGTACTCGGAGAAGTTCTTGACTTTAGGATCCACCGCGTTTTCAAAGTGACCTGTGAAAAACGACAATTAGAACCCTACGAAAAGAAATATACTGCATGATGAAGATGACAAACCAACTAGAAATTCCTTGTGTGCCCGTACATCTAAAACCACGGTACCCTCCTTGTCCTTCACTGCCTGGCACATCGCCTCGTGGAATTGTTGAGGAGTCAGGTATCCCCGGTCTTCGTCGGACGCTGTCATGTCGGGGCGAGCGACGATGCCGCCCGTGGACACGATCTCCTTAACGTGTTTGATGATAAGGCCCACGAAAGGCGGCTCCTCATGCTCGTGAGAGCTGTGCTTGAAGTCCTCAGGACGCATGGCGAACACCTTATGCGTGCATAGGAATGCGATGTACTCATCGATCTTGGCACGTGAAGGACTCGAGAGCGTGGCGTTAATGCCTTCCTCGCTGATGAGAATGCGGCCTACGAGTCCCAAACGCTCACAAAGCTGCTGCTGCTCCTGCTTGAGCTCCAGCGGAGTCTCCACCTCCACGTACTTGTAGAACAGGATCACGGCGTGGCCTGAATTCACCATTATTGCTGGTCCTGGTCGAATAAGACGTATGAATGGCTTCACTGCAATTTCCTGTGAGAATATATAAAGCTGTTTGATAACCTTCCAGAATCGATATTATCCCACGAAGAGCTCCATTGTCCAGCGCGGTAATGACTAGTGAAGGTGGGGGCGCACAGGAGCCCAACAAAGAGCCCGCGACAAATGGAACGCCTAGTCCTAGTAAGCGCAATGTGAGCAAGGCCAAGAGGCTCTTGCCGATGGAGCTGCGGGTACGTGACGGCATTTTTGGTGATTAAGGATGCTGCTGGAAGATCGACCGATTGATGGACGATCGGTGGGCGCTTGTAGAAACGCCGTCGAGCCGCGAAGTTGCAAGTTTCGGCTGAAAAGAAGGCGCGGGTGGCGTCGGGAGCGGCCTCTTTACCTCAATCACCGTCAGCATCTGCCAGGTACAATTTAGACAGAAGAAATGCTGCTAAGACGTAAAATCTCTAACGTCGTTATTTATCAAGATCTCCTGGCAAAACAGAGACAACCGACGAGCCTAAAGAGGAAGAAAGATCGAACGAAGTTTCTCGCAAGGCTACTTCAGATGAGGGTTCGCCGGCAAAAGAAATGATGAAGGCATCTCAATCAGAGTCGACTCCCCAAAACTCACCTCAAGAGAAGACGCCAACCGCTACTGCGTCAACACGCTTGCATTCGCTTTATAACTCGTCACTGCTGAATCAACGTGCACACAACCGGCGGCTTGTTCCAGGTGCAAACGTCCCGAACACCTTCCAGGTAAGTGACCAGATGGGTGTCAGGAAACGTGTTGCTCAATTTGTGAAATCAGGTTGCAGAGTTGCCACTGGACATTGTGCCCAAGACAAAACTGTCAATTCTTACTGCGTTCCCGTATCCTTTTCAGCGCGTTACGTACGTGACGCTCACAATTGGAATCCTTCGTTATAATGTGGCTCGTTCTGACAAATATGATGTGATGCTGCCAGTTCAAAAATCAAGCAACAAGCACTGCAGAACTTCATATCTGGTGGTGATAATATTGCGCAGCAATCAGCTTCTCAAAGCACAGCAGTGCGATGGCAGCAAGCGTTGCATTACTTCGTACACCCTGCAGACCCAGTGCCAGCATCCGTTCTGATCAACCGAGCGGCTGCAGCTACAAGTGAGCCATTACTGGGAGGCCCCAAAGGTGAACACATGCGAGATGAAAAAGCATTTTTCACAGCACGCTGGAATACGTGGCAGCAGTCATTTCGCGACGTCTACATGAATTTCCGCCGGCAGTCTAGCAGCGTTGGTGGCACACGGGATGGCTCATTCTACCTTCACTCAAGCGAGTTTGTAGTTTACTTTCTCCATGACATCGACAACCAAGATGCAACAGGGAACGATTCGTCAATTATCAACCTATGTCGACAGCATGACGAAGGAACAAAATCTTCTGAAAGTCCAACTAAAAAAGCCCGTAAACGTACGAAGAACTGTCATCTCCGGGCTGTGATGTCGCAGTCAAGTGCAAGAATCCGCAAGGTACTACACCACCTCAATGTGGAATACACGATGCCGTACATTAAAGCAAATCAAACGCAGCGCGAGGCTGGCGAGTTCCACTTGCTCAAAGAAGAACTCGAGGCAACCAGCAAAAGAAACACGGAGCAGAACGGTGACACGATCATGACTCGCACTACCGTTGCTCCAGATAATATGCACGGAGCCGACTCATTGCTTCTCTTCCACGGCCACGACGCTGTCCACGGACTGTACGAGTTCCTCATCAATCGTGCGCGTAAGTGTTTGTTTGCGTCTGCTTGGTTCTGCAATATCTGACCTGTCATTTTCATTATCAGCCATGTCGAATCAAGACGTGCCAGTGTTGTATGCGTTGTATCCGTTCGCGAGCGCTTCCATTAAAAGTTTGCAGGTCACATCGTTTGGTCGAGTCGGTGCTCCAGTGATCGAATCAGTATCTGAAGACCAGTCTTCGAGATCTGCAACACTCTTTCGGATCGAGATCTTTGGATTCTGCTTCCCATCCAGTATCGCAAGATTACTTGCTGTGCTCAAAGATGAGTGGGAAGCAACCCATTCATCTTACGACCTGTTGGAACCCACGACTGGAGGGAAGAATGCTCAAATTGTACTGCGAACGTATATGGAGGCGTTGGCGGGCGCTGAACGTCTGAATGCCGTGAAATTGGACGAGCAAGCTGCAAGAGGATCTGGAAATGAGCAACAAGAGCGTCAGAAGCGTCAGCAAGAACTCGAATTTTCCAAGCGGCGCATGGAAATCGCAGCAGTGACGAAGATGGAAAGTCGATACGACGTCGAGACTACGAGCCGGACGATTGTTGTCCGGCGATGAATCCTCGCCGCAATCTTTTGCAGGTCGTTTGGTCTCGCTGTGTGCGCTTGTAGGTGTGACGTGGCGGCTGGAACGGAGGAAGACTTGCGTCTAAAACTTTGCAAGTCGCGCGTTGCATGCTGCACCGAAATTTGAACGGGCAGCTACAGGGCGTAGGTAACCTGGCAATGGTGTGGACAAGATCACTTCGAGTTTGTCAAGAGCGCAAACAATCGGACGTTGAGTCACCGCCGTTGAATTGTGCCTTCACACGGAAAGGACCACAGGACAATTGAAGCGCATGTTGGTCACACAGTACTGTACGCGTTTGCAGATGCAATAGGCTCGTGTGCGTCAGCCACATACTAACCGTACACAAAATTCAGGCGGCAGCTCTTGTCAATAGGGAGGTGGCCACGGGTGAATGAAAAAATCTGCAAGGATTTTTCATCAGTGAGTCCAAATTGACAAAAGTTATGGTGCATGTTGCACCATGCAACATGGATTAACTTGTACTTTGTGCAACCAAAGCGCCACGCGGCACCAAGTTGCTGTTGTATCCACATCCGAGCTGTACGGAGCTCACGTGACGAGGCCATCCAATTTATCCCGGGGTGCACTCTTCCGTCACGGCGGAACCCAAGCTTTCCCGGGCGGCTTGCTCTGCTTGGGACGAAGGACGCACCTCAAGAAAAGCAAGCGAGATTCGGTGCTGCGTCCACACGAGCACTTCTTTTGGTCCGCTCTGGCTCGCCCGCAGCGATTCACAGCGAAGCGCCCATTTCGCTGGGCAGGCACGAACGCTGCCTATCGAACTCGCAGTGCGGATGGCTGCTGTGCGAGTGGCAGGACAGTCCACGTCACTTCTGCGGGAACTCTTCAACTTGGGCATTGCCCAATGGACAACGATTTCGTTCGAACCGGGGAAAATAAGAGCGCTCTTCGGCATTGCAGGCCAGCGATAGCCGTCGGTGTTGCCTGCATAGAAGCACTACACCTGGATACGTTGCCCTTAGGCATAGCACACTCCGATCAAAGACCTCGATCTCGGGTTCCGGATTCCTGGCAGAATTTCCGACTTGCTACGAAGAGAACGGTGGCCTGAGCTTTCGAAGGTAGGACGCGTTTACTGCTTGTTCCATCCGTCTGGCAGTCACGACGCCAACGCGGCGCAGCTGTGGGGAAATCGCAGTCGCTGTGGAGCTCGTCATCGCAGCTAGCAAATGGCAGCTTCAAATTGAGCCTCTCCACGCAGCCATTTGACTTGGTTTTTGTATATTTCCATCGCTTTTCAAGCTGTTTTCCACATCGCGCAAGTGAGTGCGCGCGGGAAGGCACGTGCGCTGGGCAATGGACTTGTACTCACAAAACAAGTTGTAATATTCACTCTTGAGTCTAAATTTCGAGTATGATACCTGCCAGCATGAACGCCGCCACTAAGGAAACATGCATCGACCTGCTATTTGCAGTGCACATGTACACCGCGTGGTGGGTGACAATTTACGCCACAGCTTTACATGTAAATTAACGTTAAGGTTCCGACGACACTTGCACTGATGTCCGTGACCGCTCGTTCGGCTGGTCTTTGTAAGTTTTTCCAAAGATGGGCGCATTTTGTCGATCGAACGAGTCACTGACTCGCCGTCTCTATGGACTGGCTGGCTTCCCCTCTCAGTCTGCGATTCCCTCGGTCAAGGTCAGCAGCAAAAGGCCCCATCCGAGAAGAGCAAGTTGAGGCCCAGCAGAGGCGCAGCTTACCACGCAGGAAGGAGTACGGTAGGACGAGAGCGAAACAAGATCGGCCCTCTGCCCACTGAGAGTCCTTGCACGTGGTTCATTGCTGCTTTCTCGCCCGCAGCGGACAACAAGAGCGGAGCTTTCGGTCCATGGGGATCATTGCATGGTTCAGTCTCTTCAAGTTCAATTGGCTGCGCAGATGTAGGACCTGCGGCGTGCGCGGCTCCAAGTGCCTGTGCCGCCGGCCGTCACTAGCGCTCGAGCACATTTTCTTCCTCGAGGAGCGTAAGAATAAGTTCGGCGCGCGCAACTTCAGCCACGTGAGCGACACCATGATGACGTCCAATAGCACCATGTTCGCCAGCAGCACGGCTGGCACGGGCCCGGCTAGCAGCCTCAGCGGATCTACAGTCGTCATGCGTGGCGCTGGGTCCTTTATCGACGGTGAAGTGAACCCGACAGACTACTACTACCAGACAGGGCCGCCTGTCAACAGCACGGACGGCAATGGCGAGCTCCTGACACCCCGTATGGACCAGAAGACGGAGAATCAGTTCCGCACTCACGGCCAGAACAAAAAACAACGTAGCGTTGGCCACGGGAACTCCAAGGTCGCAGGCTCAGCCGACGTGCCTCCTACCGCCCTCGTCCGCAAGTACTCTGGACGTATGATGTCCAAGGCAAGACACAATGGAGACAAGAACATGCAGCCGCCTATCAAGGAAGTCGTAACGGGAGAATACATCCTCTACACAGAAGAAAACATCCCCGTCTCGCTGCCACACCGTCAGCAGCAGAAGCAGATCGTGCCGCGCAACCGGAGACGGTCGCGTGCACAGAGCAACAAGAGTATTAAGATGAACACCCTCCCACAACACAAGGAGGAGCCTGGTGTCTCATTCCAGTTCTACGGCCGCAGCGGGCCCCCCGCCCCACCCGCTGCTGCCATCATGTCGTCCAACCGGAGCGCTAGTATGCGAAGCAGCTGCAGCACCAACGACTCGTTCATTATGGGCTCAAGCTCCGTCTCGTCCACGCGTGTGTCCCAGTATTCGGACCGCGTGAGCCTCGAGACGAACTTTGGTTCGTTCAACCCGCAGTCCAACCTCACCAACACGGGACGCTTCATCGACAGCGGCTACACTCCGAGTATCCAGGAGGACGAGGCTCTGGAGCAACTCAATGGCTGGCTCCATGCGTCATCCGTGTCGACACAGGGCTCCTTCATGTTGTCGCGATAATTGTGTGCTTGTGAGAATTCAAGAGGAAAAGGCGATGCTTGCCCATTTTGGATGGAACAAGATGGAGACGGCGGAAATCGGACGGCGCGCTCTTCTTCTCAGCTATTAGACAACCGATTGAGTGTATGGAAGAATACCCGTGCGTGCTGCGGAGTCTATTAATTTAATACTATTGTGCGTGATGTTGAATTGAAGCAAGGAGTACTGGATGTGTCCGCTGCAGTTTCCATTGCCCATCGCGCAAGCTCTGCCATCGACCGACGTGCGGCCAGTGGGAGGACAGTTGAAGCGAGCCTTAACGCGCACGACACGGAGCCATCGAGGTGAGTGAGCACTGAATTGTATCGACGGTCTCATGTTTCCTCGTCGAGATGTTCACGCATCGAACCTTTACCGTGTAAAAGACAAGCTCCAAACCGGTCAACCGAAGTCGCCGGAGCTGACGGCAGCAGGTCTTCTCAAAGCCTTCTCAGCTCCGATAAACTTGGTGTTCGCAGTGTCGAAACCTGGACACTTCAACAAGACATCATGAATGTTCAGGACAATGATGACGACTTCGTCCACGATTACATCGGAGCTGCTCTGGGTTTCTGAGATACTGAATGCAACTTGCAAGCAATGCAAGCGGCCACTGATGATCAGTCTGATCAGCACGCTGAAACACCAGTGGTAATTTACTTTTTTTTGCCAACTCGTGTTGGAACGTTCGACTCATGTCGGAAAACCAACTTGGTGTGAAGTTCTCGTGCCGTATCATCACTGTAAAGTTCGATTTGATGTGGCACACACCTTCTGTCAAGGCAGCTTTTCCTCGCCACGCATTACGCCGAGACCCCCAGCAAGCTTCGCAGCCGCATATATCGCGGCGCTTTCTCTGTGTATATCTTGCCCCTTCACAATGGCTTCCACATCCTCTTCGGCCGCAGTGGCTGCCATGGTGCAGCGTGCGTCGCAGCAGTATCTCGAATGCCGTCGCAACGTTACGGCCAAGGTGGACGAGGTGAAGCTGCTGGACGAGCAGATTGCCGCTGTGTTCCAGCAGATCACGGCTCTTTCCGAGGCCCCTGAGGGCGAAGAAGAGCTCTCTGATGAGGTAAAGGCTGCCGCTAAGAGCGTGGGACGCCTGGAGGTCTCGTTGCTCGGTGTGGAGGGCGAGGAACCCGTGCCCAACGCCACCATCACCGTGTCCCTCGACCCGGAGTACGAGGATGATGAGTATGAGACTGTGGAGGAAGTCGTGGAGAAGAAGGACGTTGTGGTTACCGATGAACACGGCCACGTCGTGGAGGACGGTCAGGTGCCCGAAGAGGACGGCGAGAGTACGCCGCGCAAGCTCAAGACGACCACCAAAATCACGCGTACTATCATTAAGAAGCGCGTCAAGAAGGAGAAGGAACCGGCTGTGCGCACCGTGGCTTGGAATGCTGCTGCTAAGACGGAAGAGGATGAGGAATCGACGGCGCTGACGTTCCCCGCTACGTTCGTGTTCGATCCGGTGCAGTCGCGCGAGGCGGTTGTGATCATCACTGTCGCTGCGCCTGCGTCGGAAGACGATGAGGAGCCTGAACCCGTGAAGGAGATTGAGTTCCCCATCACATCGCTGTTCCAGGACAACGTGTTGGACAAATGGTACACCACTGCCGACGAAGAAGAGGTGGAGGAACCTACCACCATCACGGAGCTGGTGGAGGAAGCGGTGAAGGAAGCTGTTGAAGAGGAGGTTGCCGCAGAGAAGGCTGAAGAGACCGAGGAAACCGAGAAGACCGATGAGGCTGAGAAGGATGAGAAGACGGAAAAGACTGAAAAGACTGAGGAGACTGAGGCGGACGGGGAGACTGAGGCGTCTGAAAAGACCGAGGACGAGAAGGCTGAGGAGGACGAGAAGGCTGAGGAGGATGAGAAGGTTGAGGAAGACGAGAAGGTTGAAGTCGAGAAGGTTGAAGTCGAGAAGGTTGAAGTCGAGAAGGTTGAGGAACCCAAGCCGGTCGGTAGCCGTTTCCACGTGAAGGCTAGCTTTACGCTGTCTGAAGCCGAGAAGCTTAGCATTTCGGTTGTGGCTCTGTCCAAGAAGAAGCAAGAGGCTGAGGCTGCGTTGCAGGTTCTGGAGCGTGAGGCTGCTAGTCTGCGTACCAAGTACGAGCGTCTGAATGCGAGCCAGCGTCAGATGAACGCGTCCAGCATCTCTAAGCCCAAGTCCAACCTCCTTGGCGGCCGCTTTGGCGCCGGTGCTGTGCCTGTGCAGCGCAAGTCGTGGTACCAGAGCTCCTATGACCGTGCAAGTGCCTTTGCCACCAAGCACCAGCAGCTTCTGGTTAGCGTCGCCATGTTTACCGGCAGCGTCTGCCTCTTCCACTACAACGGCGAGAACCTGCTGGCTTAAGTGCATCACGTAAAGATACTACAGTATTCTCTACGCTCAATGCGCTCTCTTTTTTGTTGGGCACGTACACAAACTAGTGACGCAAAGCAAAGCTACCGTAGTGATGACCAGAGCTGAGCTGCATTCATCTGTCCTAATAGATATCAATAGGTATTTGGCTTCGCTCAAGTCATAGGAAACGACCTCCGTTGTCTTCGTATGTTCGGTAAGCGACGTAATCGGTAACAAGCCTGACAAGAGCAATCATGTGAGAGTTCTTCCACCTCCTTAAGAGCTGAATGCAATTAGTTATCCTACCGAACGACATTGTGTCCGAGCTTGCATCGCTGGAGATCTTGCAACGTGATCCTGGCCGGATGCACTGGGGCCACCGCGTCAAATACCTGCGTCTACAACAAAAGATCATTAAATACTAGTACTACAATATCTAAAGTCCTGCAAGTCGAGTACATACGCGCAGACGATCTATGCTTGGCGCGTCCTTCTTTCCTTCGTGCGCATAAATTTTCTCGAGTAGACTTCGGAGGAAAAAGTCGAGAGTGAAGGCGTCCAGAAAACCTTGCTTATGAAAATCGAGTACATTCCAAAAGAACTAAAAACACAACCATCGGTCAAAAGAATATCAACATGCTCTAACTCTGCGACTTACTCGAAGTGCAGCAGGGGATACATTGTCGCTCATAAGCAAAGTAAAATCCAGATACGCATGATAGTCCATCTCATGGTTAAACGTTGGTACTTCCGCAAACACTTGGGTCACGAAGGCACCCGTTAGATCGTGAGTAGGCTCACTGCCTGTGGGGTTAAAGGCACGCTTTTTGCCGTAGTCTTGCAGCTCAGTCATACTAAGCATGCCATTGCCGTCGCGGTCTAGCTGGAGATACTGCCGGTGTACATTCCGAATTCGAGTAGGGTGGAATGCATTACTCTGCATATCGTATCGCTCACGCAGAGAGCCATCCATTAGTCTAAAGAATTCAGCAAAGCGACTGCATGTCACCACTTGGTGGATCGATAGTCCATGCGTACGAATTTGCTGCAATCCGTGTGGCAAGAGCAGCATGCGCGCACAGATAAGTTCATAGTATTGCTGGAAATCAGTGTCGTCTTGGAGCCCTAATGGTTGTCTCGAGACTTGAATTGTTTCGGTTATAAGAGTCATGTACGCTTGCTCCGACAGCACTTCGTCTTTATCTGAGCCTTCATGAGTAACGCGTTCCAGAACGAATCGGGCTATGCGTAGGGATAACTGCAGCTGGTGAAGGTACTCAAGGAGCATATACCCACTTATTCTCCCCTGTGTGTCCTGCGGAAACTACAGATTTATCGTAAAATGATCAACCGAGTAAACAGTAGTCGTCCAAGACAAAGGCGCTTTGTACCATAAGGAAGCGTTGAGCTGTCAGCAGGATCCCCGACTTCGCACGCAGAGACAATATACCACACCGAGAACCCTTTGAAAGAGATTGATAGTCTTCGTATGAGAGCATAAGTGTCATTTGTGCGTCGAGCATGCGATCGATCTCAACGATTCCAGTCTTCTTGGTTCTTTGCTTTATCTCTCGCTTTAGATACAGCGACAGATCGGGATCGCCTGGTTAGAACGCAAATGAATCGACATGAGAAACATATACAAAGAGCAGCAGCTAGACTTGCAATAAAAAGCAAATTCAATACAGGCAAACGAGCAGATATGCTCTACTAGTCGAGAGAATTCGGTACTGGTAAGGATGACAGCATCCAGCTTAGCTGCTACCCTCCCTCGTCGTATGTGCTCTCCGCACGTGAATGGCGTCCGTTTGCGAGGGAAGAAGAACCTTGGGATACTCGAAGCATTATTATTCTCCTTCACGGCTCCGGGTCCGTCTAATAAGCCTGGTAGTAGTGGCGCTGTAAGCTTCTCCATGCTTGAGAATTATACGCCGTTTCATTGGAGATGGCTCTCTTTTCATCCAATCAGGTTATTTTGTGTGGTACACACGTGTTGCTGGCTATGGGACCTTCAAAATTGCTTGGGATCGGCTGCTGTAGTAGCATGGAGCACGACGCGCCCGCGGCAAACACCGCCACTGACACGGTGGTCGATGCACCGAACGAATTAGTGCAAGAACCAGACGCTCCGCTGGTCGGTACTCCCGTTGGTACCGACGTTTCCACTGTTCAAGAGGAAATCAACACGGTACAAGAGATGGAAACGGACACCGATAAACAATTGGATGACAACGTGTCCCAGCAGCAAGTTGAGGCGGGAGATGCTGCAAGGAAAGAAGATGATACTGCAGATAATGGTGACTTGACTGCCGGTGAGCATCAGGAGCAACACGACGAAGTGATGGCGGACCCGACGGCTTCGGATCCTGCTACTGCTTCACAGCAAGAGGACGAAACTTCAGAAGAGAAGGACACGGTTAACAACGACCCAGCGAACATAACGACTCAAGAAGTAAACATGACTGAAGCGTCTATAGCGAATGATGAAGCTACTTCCGGAGCTTGCCAGGAGGAAGCGTCAGCGGCACAAGACTCTGCAGATGCGACAGCAAATGCTGCTGGGAATGAAGAGCAAGAAGCTGGGAAAGATTCGTCTGTGATGAGTGTAGGAGACAACAGTGCGTCGTCTCCACCAACACACGATGAGAGTGAATACGACCCGTCGGCTCCTTCCTTGATAGTGGATCCTGTACCTCACGGCGAGGACGAGTATGACCCAGCCAATCCGTCTCCTGCTGGAACTCCAGTTGCAAGCAATGCACCAGGCTTTACCCACCGGCCATCTACGGAACAGGAAGAATACGACCCTGATCATCCGTCCATGACACCCGCAGCTGAGGAACCTGTAGCAATGGAAGTGGATCATACATCGTCCAACCCCACTGCTAGCGAACAGTCTACCATGATTCCAGCGAAGAGGAAAGCTAGTGATGAACCCCA